AGGAAAGTTTCGCGATATTTATCCGCAAGCCAAGTCGATTTCAAATTTCGAGGCTCGTTCGAGGGGTCTCAGAAAAGGGAAAGTGTCGAGCTTCAGCGCTTCGAGGTATTTAAGGGTTGATATTAAAAAAAAGAAAACTATCTTCCTAAATATAACACGGAATACGAGTGGGAGTAACTGTATGTGGCGTGTCGCTTCTCGTGCTCGCCACCAGAGGGCTCGCGTTCTCACAAGCGCTCGACCGACCTCTCGATTGCTATACAGGGTGGTATTGTTACAAATCATAACTCCGTTATTATTGCATTTTCGAAAAAATGCCAAAGGAGAAAGATAAATGGTTCGAAGAGCACTATATCTGTAGGCCTTTAAATTTTTTTTAGATGCAACAGTGCATGTGCAATTAACAATTGCATCATTTCTTTAAATAGGAATGCATATTTTCTTTTACACAGATCGATTCTTTTGTTCGTTCTACGTAAAAAATGATTGGGGTACCATGGCCAAAAAATTATCAGATCTCGAGATATTTTCAAAAAATGTCTTTATATCGCAAAATGAATATTAAATAAATATTAAATAAACGCACAGAAGCGTACGAAAAAAATATGTTTTCTCCTTTTCAACGCACCCTAATCGAACAGTCAAATTTTTATATAAACTATATTTTTTTATACCTGCAATTTACAATTTACAAGCATTCAAATAAAAATGGCTACTTTAAAAGATTCCAAAAGAAAATTTATCAAGATTCTTATCGATCATCGTTCCCAAGCGAGTATTATGCTTGATGGCTGCCATGGAACGCTAAATGTCATCGAGAAGTTATTGCAAATGGCGGTTGGGGGTGTCGAAACATCGGTTTGTTTTTTAGGCGAGCCGATATCGCGGCGGTTCGACTTGGAGGAGATCAGTGTGTACAAAATCATGGAATCGAGCGCAATATAAAGGTACGATGCAGAAACCACTAAACCCAAACGCGAGGGTCGCGTTTAGCATATATATGAATTTCATACTGGCTCACGCCACGATACGAGAAATTCCTTTTCGTCTGGAAGATCGAGAAGATTCGCAAATAGAATATCTTGAACTTCCGCTCCTGAATATTGTACGCTCTTAAGCGAGCTATTGCTCCTATCCCTCCCCCAACCCTCTGGACCCTCCGAACGCCCGACACGCTAAAGAGCTACTTTACCGTAGGGGAATAAGAAACAAAAAAAAGAAGAAAATTTCATTGTGAATTTTTAAAACTGCGCATAACGGATTTCATCTTTCTTGCTCGTATGAAATTTCTTTTCTGTTTAACATTTTAAACGCCGCGGAGAGCGTGAACAATTAATTCTTAATTAGACGTCTATCGTGTCGGCGCATTCTATTTCGAATAATTGTCTTTCTTTAAACTGAATCTAGGTATGACAACAGCTAATACAAATTAAAAATTTTCGTTTCTCTTATTGCATAATAACCTCAAACTCAACACTATCCATTTGTACGTACGGTTAAGAATTTTTCAAAAATGATTCGAAGATCGTGTAATTAAAAGTAGTCCAAATATGGTCGCGTTTAACCTGATTTTATTTATGAAATTTTTTATAAATAGAGATATGTATTTGTTAGATTTAAATTTCGACAATTTGCCTGGACAAATATAAACGATGCAGCCGGGGGGGTTTTAATAATCGTAATAAATAAATTCTCGAGCCGCGAGTTCTATGGATTACATAGAATAGTTTGCAATTAATTTACTCTAGGATAACAGCGCTGGGAATTTTCGACGAAGGGATCAAGTTGGTGATTTAGGGACTGGGTCAAATTCAAGCTATTAGGCAACTATCCAAACAGCATAGTCGGCCGTGCTATTTATTACCTTGAAAAAGAGTCTTTACGTGTCTTCATGTTCAATTTATGTCCGCGTGTAATTCTTGACGGAATACTTCTTCGTTCTTATATTGGACTGAGTTATAAGCGACTGGTCGTTTACAGTGAGTCCATCTTTAATCATCAAAGTGGATCCATAAAACACGCAATGGACACGAAATTTGACTCGAATTAAGGAGAATTCCCCCCCTATTCGATATGGGTACAAATGATTTTAAAACAAACCAAATCTGACGATCTTGCATCTTGAAAATACTACAAAATGGATTCTTTATGTACAGTAATTAAAAATTAATTTTTCTATGGTCGTAAACAACCCCTGACTTTGCGTGATCCACTCTCCCTCCCACCAGCTCCCTTTTGTATTATATCTGTCCCCGATGAAGAGTCCACAGAGAAGAGACGTCGCGAGTAACCTATTTTCCAGAATGGCAAATGAGACCTCTGCTTTAGCTATCAGCACGTTTCCTCGTTAGCGTGAGACTATCGGAAGATATCTCCAGCCGAGAGTAATGATCGACAACATCCTATGTCAATAGGGAACCTCATCGACTCTGACTGATATTGCGTTTTCCTATTTCAATGCGAATACCATCTTTCCAAGCTCTTTGTTTAAACTTCGGTCATTACAACCGGTTATACAGGGTGTTCGACCATCTCGAGGAAAAATTTTAATGCCAAAATAAGACGAAAATCAAGAATACCAATTTGTTGATGGAGGCTTCGTTAAGAAGCTGTTGACGTCTAAAGTTCCGCTAGAAGTAAATTTTTTTCTCGAATGTGAGTAGGATTTTGGGAATATGTGTATTCACCAAAAATGATTGCAATTAATCCCTCTAGCTAAAAATAATTTTTTTTGGACGATTCGAAATTTTGTTTTTCGACGAAAAATTTCAATACATATTTGAATTTTTTTCTCGAAAGTGGGTAGGATTTCAGGAATATGTGTATTCACAAAAAATGATTGTAATTAACCCCCCTAGCTAAAAATATTTATTTTTGGACGATTCGAAATTTTGTTTTTCGACGAAAAATTTCAGTACCTATTCGATTTTTTTTCACGAAAATGGGTAGGATTACGGGGGTATGTGTATTCACCAAAAATAATTGTAATTAACCCCACTAGCTAAAAATAATTTTTTTTTGGCAATTCGAAATTTTATTTTTCGACGAAAAATTTCACTACCTATTCGAATTTTTTTCACGAAAATGGGTAGGATTTCAGGGGTATATGTAATCACCAAAAATGATTGTAATTAACCCCTCTAGCTAAAAATAATTTTTTCTGGACGATTCGAAATTTTGTTTTTTGACGAAAAACTTCAGCATCTATTCGAATTTTTTTCTCGAAAATGGGTAGGATTTTGGGGGCATGTCTATTCACCAAAAATGATTGTAATTAACCCCCCTAGCTAAAAATAATTTTTTTTTGACGATTCGAAATTTTATTTTTCGACGAAAAATTTCAGTACCTATTCGAATTTTTTTTCTCGAAAATGGGTAGGATTTCGAGAGCATGTCTATTCACAAAAAATGCTTGTAATTAACCCCTCTAGCTAAAGATAATTTTTTTTTTACAATTCCAAATTTTATTTTTCGACGAAAAATTTCAGTACCTATTCGAATTTTTTTTCTCGAAAATGGGTAGGATTTCGTGGATATGTCTATTCACCAAACATGATTGTAATTGACCCCCCTAGCTAAAAATAATTTTTTCTGGACGATTCGAAATTTTGTTTTTCGACGAAAAATTTCAGTACCTATTCGAATTTTTTTCTCGAAATTGGGTAGGATTTCGAGGGCATGTCTATTCACAAAAAATGCTTGTAATTAACCCCTCTAGCTAAAGATAATTTTTTTTTTACAATTCCAAATTTTATTTTTCGACGAAAAATTTCAGCACCTATACGAATTTTTTTCTCGAAAATGGGTAGTATTTCACGGTTATATGTAATCACCAAAAATGATTGTAATTCACCCCCGCAACTGACAATAATTTTTCCAGAATGATTTGAAATTTTTTAATTTAATTTTTAAAAAATTTTTCCCAGTGGTGGCTAAATATTCTATATAATCTCGAAAGAAACCAAAAAGCAGTGTCTCTTTTTAAAAAAACACGACAATTTTGCCTTGTAGCAATTCTACTTTGTTCTTTTCATTACACAAAGCGGATATGTGCGAAATGAAAACACGATAAAGACAATTAAAATAGACACACGTTGCAAGAAAAAAGAAATAAAAAGAAACGCTGACTCCGACCGCGTTACGTTGCAAACGGAAATTTAATTTTCCGCGCGCATTCCTTTTCTCTCGTGGGCGCTGTAGAATATTTCTTGTTCGAGGCTCAGGAATTTTACACAAGCAAATCGATTCGAAACAATGACACTCCTCCGCCCTTCCCCGACAGCGATTACGCGTTCGTCTCTGCAAGAATGTGCGCTTTGGAATTCCCTTCCATCGCTTACGTACGAATCTTAACGCCACGATAAACTTGCAGTTGTGTTCACGAAGAGAGGTTCCTCCAAACGGGACTAGCTTTCAAGACACTGAGACTTATGAGAAATATTTTATAAAATCTAGCCAACCGCGTTTGTACTTCTAACTCAAATAACCTTCGTGCCAGAATTCCTTTTCTTTTTTTCCGTATTTTGCAATGCCATGAATATGAAGAATAATGGAATACATTTGGAAACGCTGCGTAGCAGAACGTCGTACGAAATTTGTTTTAATCAGCCCGCGGTTGCATAATGAACGAGACAATTTACTAACGCGAAGTGGAAACGATTTTGACTGGAATGGAACCTGAAGGAATCTGTAAAATAAAACTAGAACAGCTCCACGGTCGTTTCCGTACGGGTAACGCGAAAACGAGCAGTAACTACGGAAAATAGAGCCGGGGTCCTTGCATATTTCAAGATGTCCCGATGGCGCTACGAACGAATTTCGCATGCTCGTTCCGGTACCGCTCTAATGTGGCAGTTCCAGTACGCTCTTAATAATAAACCGGTCTTTCCCGCGCGAAATTAAACATTTCCAGGCCCGGGGCCGGCGTTAAAATTAAATTGTTACGAACGCGCGATTTAAATTATTGAGCGACCCCTTTATTTCTATTTTTTTCGTTACAGATGCGGCATCCGATTCAAATGAAACCGGCGGACAGCGAAAACAGAAACGGTGAGTAAAAATTCAACGGTTCGTTTCGAAGAACTTTACAGTATTCATTTTTCTGTTTGCCTCGTAAGCGTTTCATTCAAATCTAAATTGGGTAAGCGTGCTTCACGTGTTCCATGGCGCCCCAATTTCACGCGTCTAATGGAAATATAGTGTAATACCAGGGGACTGGACACAGTTGAAATAACTATCACCTAGTATAATACATAATTATGTAAATGAAAGTAATAAATACACTCGTTGGTAAACTACGAGTCTGTGAAAATAAATTTCGAAATTTGAACGATGTATCTTTTTTAGACTAAACTGCGACTTTCAATCAGAGCTCATTGAAATATTTCTGTGCAACAGTTATTTATTTAATTGCAATGAAAAAGTTTTATTGCTGTGCATTGTGGAGATAAGAGACTCAGGATTATTATTATTATTAATTTATGTATAATGCAAAGGAAAAGCTTTGGTGAATCAATTCTACTAAACTGAAACCTTTCATTACTAACCTTTGCTTTAATCACGTACCACATATTCGATAAAAATGGACAAACACAATAAATTCATACCGCCATTATAGATACGACAGCAATACACAGTATTTGACTTTGGAATACTATTTTATTGAACATGCAAAGATACAGAAATGAAGTGTGTTTGTACTTTCCAGTATCGTCGTTCGAAGCTACAATTTACCTAAAGTGCAGGCAATTTACTTGAAAAGTTGTTACTTGGCTGCAGAAAAATTGTTCACTCATTCGTCGTTTTTCCATACATTTTCGTGTTCGTTTAATTCATTATTTTTTTGTTTTAAACGTTGTTTCGTATCAACAAAGGAACGTGGACGATGGAGTTGATTTAGCTCGTACTAACAAGCTAAATTGCGCGGAGTTTTGTTCGACTTTGATGCGATTTAAAATTAAATTCTGCGCACATTCGTCCAACGATATCGGTATAAAATTGTCTCAGACGTTACAGCGAGACCAAACCCCCCCGGGTTGTCTCGTTCGCGTCGTACCCCCCGTTCCACCTAAGCGTTTCGCTGTCTGCGTCGCGACAACGGCGGAGAATGCAGTTCAAAGCGTGTTCATTAAGTGCTAATTAATTGGCTGAATTGAGGGATTCCCGTGATTGTGTAGTCAAAGAAGACGTAATCGAGTCGCGGAGCAACGACTGAGTGACGGCGCGGAAGTCGCGACAGGGATTGTAAGGAAAGGGCAGAAAAGGAGAATCCCCCAAGACGCCAGGCACTGTGCAGAGATAACTTGTTGACTAGGCGGGACTGATTAGCTCTAGCGTAATAACCGACTTCTACAATCTCCAACGGACGAAATATATCGAGACAAAGTGAAGTAGAACCCATTGAGGTAGACGTAAGCTCAGAATATTAACACATTTGGAGGATTGTATAGCAACCGAAAGGTCGAGCGAGCGCTTGTGAGAGCGCGAGCCCTCTGGTGGCGAGCATTGGAGGCGCCACACGTTCCCAATTCTCCATTCCTCAGGAGCTAATTACAATCGAATGTTTCAAGAAATTTTGCCCATTATTTCCCCTTGTAAGCAAGAACTATTTAAAAAATTTCATATTATATATAAAAGCTATAGAAGCTCCAATAAAGCCACGTTTATAGTGTAAAAGCGTTTACTTATTCAAATCTGAAAAATATCCGAGCATAGAGGTTTCAAAGTACTCGATCGCATTTCTTCGTAAAAAGAAAATTCCTCGAAAAACATGAGAACTTTCCCGAGTGACAAAAGCGACGCGTCGGTGAAAACGAAAAACGAATGCTAATGAAATATTAACGACACCCGTCACGTGCTCGCGAGCCAGCTGGACCTGAACCTGCGCCATTTTTTTTTTTGTTACACCCCTTGTTTTTACCCCCTGGGTGACCAGAAATCATAAAGGGTATAATCGATACGCGTGTGACGGAAGGAAAAAAGTTTTATTATTGATTATTTGCATGGACCAACAAACAATATGAACACATCTTGACAATTTGCCCTAAATACAATATGAAGAGGATTCAACATAAGCTACAAAATTCACTAACGATCCTACGAGAAATAGACTCATGCGAAAAAGTTCTAAACTTATTAAAAGACATTGAAGTATACCAATTGCTCTAAATATGGTCAGTTCCATGGATTAGGTTTGGGTTAGATCTGGGTTAGGTCTGGGTTAGGGTTTCTTTAAAATTATTTTAATAACCGAGCTGAAGTTTGAATCTTTAAATTAATCTTTGACTACCAAAATTCTGTTGAATTTACGAATTTATTGACAGAGTATTTGAGTTATAAACATTGAGAGTGGAGTTTACCCCTCTATAGTGATTAGAAGCCACTCAGCTAATAATTCAGTCATTGTGAAGTAATTTAATTGTTAGGTTTCTAAAAATATTATTAGAGGGGTATATACAGGGTGTTACTGGATGGGTGGTACTATTGGGCAGAGGGTGACTACGTTCGAACAAAAGAGATAACATTTTTCCTTTATGAGAAAAGTGGGTTTGAAAATTATTTCTAGCTCTCACGTAGCATAATCGTGACTATATTGACATGGTATTATAGATAACTATTTCAAAATCATCGCCATCCAAATTAACAGGGTGGTACCGAAAACTGAGCAGAGATTAATTGAGTGTGGTCCATGTGAGTAAATGATAATAAACTAGGTCTGGGTTAGGTCTGGGTTAGGTAACCCAATTGTGGTCACTGATAACCAACAAGGTGCATGTGACCTAAAACGCTCAAAAAAAAAAAATATGACAGAAACAAGATTGTTGGATGACCAACACGAACCAAACAAACACCACTCCGTCACCTCGCAAACATTACTCGTCCAAAACATCCTAGTCCAGATTTCTAATCCTTACTCATCCTGAACCTCGTACCCTTCCTGAGTGACACTATCCCTTGATCATCGTCCCTACCCCTACCCATCTCTACCAACAACTTATAAATGCCTGCAATACCGAAAAACAGACAGAAAGAGTCTAGTCTTCAGTCGACGTAATCATTGTACGAGTTTCATCTCTTCAATAAAGTGTTGGAATCCAACAAGATATTCAATTTATTGTAGCAAGCTCAAGAGGAGTTTGAGATGTGATGGAAATTTTTTTTTTTGTCATTTTCGTGAACTGAAAGAAGAATGGATGTTTTGAAAGGTTCGAGGTGGAACAACCCCTGAAATTAGCGCTCGATATCGGCTCTCTCTTTCGATACTGTCTATATTTAGGGGCGTAGGAAATCACGCGCTGGGAGGTAGGATGATCGATAATTCAAGTTTATCGAGGCTGGAGTTCATTGAGATGACGTAACCCGTTCTTAGCGATCTCGAGAATGGGTGGAACGTGGACGAAGCGTAACAAGCGAGTATGTCGTTACTTGCAACCGAGGAGAGCGAATCCCCGCGATGTCGGCCAAAATAAACAGAATGTCACGGATATAAATAAAGCTTTCACTCTCTTCGTGACTCTCTTCGCTCTTTTTTTCGCCGAATTGACATACCCAGAGTCGTGACGGAGCTCTCTTGATGGACGAGCTTCCTGTCGGAAACTGCCGCTAAAAGCGTACGCCAGCACGCGCGCCACCGCCATTAAGAAATGTAATTGTAGGCAAATGCACAAGAATCTGTCCAATTTCAAAATTGTAATATTGAGAAAACACTATAAACGACTCTAGCAAACGTGGTCAATGTTATTCCCCTTTTTCTTTTTTCATTTGTGCAAAACAGTGGAGCAAAATGTACTTTCATCGAACCTGAGTCAAAATTCACCGTTTAAAGATCAATCAAACGAAACAAATTATATGTAAATTGCTTCGAATAAAAATGCAGTAAAATGATATGGATTGTGTGTTTGGGTACCAATGGTACTGTGCACAGCTGGAAAGATGATTAGTGAGACGAGGCAGGAGGATGAGGGGTACTCTGGACGTTCTATGCTTTGACGTTTCTCTAGTTACCATAATTCGGTCCTTAGTGGAACGCCCTGACGTAGAAGTAGGTCTGAGTTTAATAGATGAGACCGCTGGCGGCCAATAATGAACGACGACGGAAAATGGGTGTTCATAGAAGTGTGACTAATCCATTATGGCCAATCATACCCGCATTTCTACCGCTCGTCGTCTTTCCAGCTGTGCACGGTACATAATCCTTTTAAACCGTGCGTACATCCGTCGAAAATACACGTCAGCGTGGAGGAAGTGCAGCTTATTTGCAATATCCAATTATAGAAAGAAGTAATAATTATTTAATTTGTAATTGAGCGAATAACAGGGACGAATCATGTGTTGCAATTTTAATTTTTGCAATTTGCATAATTTATATACTGGGTGTCCCGTAAGTACTGGTTAGGTCTGGATTAGGTCTGGATTAGGTCTGGGTTAGGTCTGAGTTAGATCTAGATTAGGTCTGGGTTAGGTCTGAGTTAGATCTAGATTAGGTCTTAGTTAGGTCTGAGTTAGATCTAGATTAGGTCTGGGTTAGGTCTGGGTTAGATCTAGATTAGGTCTGAGTTAGGTCTGGGTTAGGTCTAAGTTAGGTCTGGGTTAGGTCTGAGTTAGATCTAGATTAGGTCTGAGTTAGGTCTGGGTTAGGTCTAAGTTAGGTCTAAGTTAGGTCTGAGTTAGATCTAGATTAGGTCTGAGTTAGGTCTAAGTTAGATCTAGATTAGGTCTGGGTTAGGTCTGAGTTAGATCTAGGTTAGGTCTGAGTTAGGTCTGGATTAGATCTGAATTATTTCTGGGTTAGGTCTGGGTTAGGTCTGAGTATATCTGAATTTTAATTCAGTTAGAAATATTTCAAGTAACAAAGTTTCACTTGAATAATTTAAATATTTATTTATGTATTTAAATAACAATATCGTTAGCTTTTCCCAAAGGTTTTTTTTTATTTTAGTAATAATGCTTTAATAGAAGATTTGCCTTGAATTTCTCAACCGTTCGTTCGCTTTTAGATTTTTCGACGTACGGTTGAAATTGTAACGTACACAACACGTATCCGCGAAACG